CTATTTGCCTCTCACTGAATCCCAGGTGTAAATAATAGCACATCATTCTTATAGAATATGCATAAATAGCACATCATATTCATTTTGACTACTAACTTTTACACCATTTAAATGCCACATGAATAGATATAAGCTAGGCAGTTATACCTCAAGACTACATGCCATAAAATAGCACACAAAAAGTAAAAAAGAAACAAATGCTCAATACAATATCAAATGACTTGCATTTGATATTGTACTGAGCATGATGAATGCATGTTATTCTTACACCATTACAATACACCTGGTAAATCATGATATCATAATATAGTAGCTGAAATCAATTCAAAGCCTACAGATGGCATAAACAGTGAAGAGAAGTGATAACCTCCTCTGAGATTGCTCTGAAGCAGAAATGTTCAGTCATTTACTCTGTGTTTTTATTAAGCTAAAGCCCCCCCAGATATATCAAATGACCTTTTGTGCGATCAAAGAACTCTCTTAAATCACTTGTAAACTAACACTCTTTCTAAGTCTGACTACTGGGTAAAGACACCCAGGGGCTTTCTGAGAAAAGTGTCTGTGCAGTCTCCATTCTGTGAGCATTAGTGGGTTTTTTTATTTTGTATTTTTTTATCTGACAGGAAGTCTGAGCTGTAGCAGTTTAACAACAGGAAAAAATGACCAGCACTTTATAAAGAATATGTGGTGCTGTTGTGAAACAAAGGAACGAAGCTCGAGGGCATTGCTAGCTGACAGATGATCCAAACTCATGGTTAAATTCAATTCACCAAAAGAGTTTCAGGGAAATCAGATATTAACGCCTTCTCTCTCAGCTTTATCTCAGCATCACATCTGTGCTTTATTTATAACACTGGAAACTATTGTATGAAACATTAACATGTTCTGGTGAATATTATTCTCCTGACCTGAATTATAGCCATTAAAATGCCTCAGTTTTCTGCTGTAAAAAGCAACAGAAAACTGAGGCAAAAACATTGTAACTGCTCGGAGCACTTTCTTGCTTTTTTTGTCAGAAGCACATAGTAGTTAAATCCTTGTTTGGCTTAAACAGTTGTGTAATAGTCATCACAATTAGCTAGAAACCTTTCATAATAATTTTCAGTATCAAGTACTAGCATCACCCAGCTCCAAGGACAGTGACTACCCAACTTCCAAAAATGGCCTTTGGTCAGTCATAGTCATATTTCACACCGTCTCCTACATTGTCTCATTTCCGGCTTTGTCACCAGGATTGATAGGAGCTGTGCTGACATCACCGTGACTGTATGAGTAGGTGAGTGGGTAGCCGGGTTCCCCCAGGCTTCTCAGGCAAACCTTTGTTCTTTGATGGCACCAAATGGCGCAGTTAAATCCTCCCCAGCAAAATTAGTCCCCTCAGTATCAGCTGACTTAACCTAATCAGTGCTGGCCCTGGCACACTGTGAATGTTTTTGCTAAAATGTGTTTGTATCAAAGGCAGCGTGGTTTGCACTACTTCCTTTTTAGGGATATTCTTGGACTAAAATGTCTTATGGGTCATTTGTATTGTGCCAAACAGATAGTCCAGATAGTGCTTTTCCAGATATCAGGTTTCAACTGAAAGCACTGCCTTACTGTAAGAAAAGGAGCATCATTTAAAGTTAAGAAAATGCAGATTATTGTTGGCAGGCAATTTTCAATCGCTGAGCCACATTACGCCTTTGCATCTGAGGGTCATCATTCATGTAAGACCAAAAGGTCACTTAAAAAAAAATACAAATTGATTTTGTATAAAGCTGCCAGCTGGGAAACCATGGGTCCTGACATTTATGTACAGGGTGGGCCATTTATATGGATACACCATAATAACATGGGAATGGTTGGTGATATTAAAGTCCTGTTTGTGGCACATTAGTATATGTGAGGGGGCAAACTCCTCAAGATGGGTGGTGACCATGGTGGCCATTTAGAAGTCGGCCATCTTGGATTACGTTACATTGAAACCAAGCACACCATTGTTTTTCTTGTGACATTACCAATAAGTTTGATGTGTCACATGGCCCTCTTCCTATTGAAAAAACAAAAGTTGTATCCAAGATGGCCGACTTCTAAATGGCCACCATGGTCACCACCCATCTTGAGGAGTTTGCCCCCTCACATGTACTAATGTGCCACAAACAGGACTTTAATATCACCAACCATTCCCATGTTATTACGGTGTATCCATATAAATGGCCCACCCTGTACATACTGTTTTGACATGTACCACCCGCCTAAAAGTTTTCAAAGACTAAACACACCCACATATGGCAACAGCACTCCCCAATGGCAGTGGCTGCCCCACGGCCATGCAGTGTACCCTGCTCCATTGTTCAGGAGTACAACAAAGAGCCCAAGTCACTGAGTCAGCCAGCAGACTCCCCCCGGGACCTATCGCACAGGATGCAAAGGTTCAAACCCAGTGCCAGACATCACAGGACAACTGCACAGGTCCCATGTGTTTGCCCTGAACAGAGTGATCAGTGTATAGTCCTGCTGATGTTCAGTAGTTCATAGCTATGTATCACTGTACTGCTTTTGCTAATAACTACAGTTATTAACTCTTTCAAAAAATGTCACATGAATTAATAGTTGGTGTTGTTCAGAGAAGGAATTGTAGAATTATTAATTAGTTGTCAGGTTAACCTCATGTATGTCATGTCTTGATGCTGTACCTTAATTTATCAGTTCATTCTAAGCATGTAACAGCTTAATAGGTCTAATAAGATTCCAGGCTGATATGTGATTCCTTGTTAAACAGTAAAAAAAACCCAAAAAAAAACAAAAAACACTTGGAAGCTGAATATCCTTCTTTGTATAATGGTTTTTATTTGAAGTGGTTTAAAATACTGTTATGGTGAATCTAGCTGTTTCTTGGGAATTCACAAGTGACAATCACCACAGTGGGGTTTTTAATCCTAGGGGGAGGGATGTTACCAGCAGAGGCTATTGCATTTATCACACTGCCCTTGTGGGTACTCAGTTCCTTGAAACGCCCATGGCTGTAACCTTACATAAGTAGCACATTACAAAGTTCCAACTGTCAGGAGGAAACCCAGATTCTAATATTTGTTCTATTGGTTCTAGTTATAACACCAGTTATGTGCCTGTCCTTTTTTTTTTACTGTAATATGAATATGACAAACAAATCCCAGATAAGCAACTCCCAGCTTGCCATATGGGAAACGGTCTAGCTTCAGCTTTATTGTGTCCTGCAGTTGGCAGTACATCCACCCTGCTTTCAGGAAAATATAATTAAACAGAGTGAATATCACATTTCCTTCCCATAATGCCCAGGAATGAACACCTTTATCTGCCTCATAAAGAGTGTAAAGTGTGATTGTGTTTGCACCTAGAGGGCATTGAATCAGGGAAAAAAACAAAGGAGGTGTCGAGAATCAATTTGACAACACCAAATTTTAAAAGGACAAATGCCAGTTGAACATTTTACTGTCAAATTAAACCCAGTGATGTGCAAAAGAGTTTCTGTGATGCTGGCAGTCACCTGTGCAGTGCCATGCTTATTATTATTATTATTATTATTATTATTATTATTATTATTATTATTATTATTATTATTATTATTATTATTATTGCATTTAGCAACCTATTTTATTTCAAAGTCTGTTATATAGTGGACTCAGTGTTGGGGAGTAATGGAATACATGTACCGCCGTTACATATTTAAAAAGGCGAGTGGAAAAGGACGAGTTGTCATCAAGCAAAAACGGGAGCTGGAAGCATGTAAATATAATAATAACCACTGCAGCCAAGAAGAGTGCCTGACGAGCCCAGTTGTAAGTAAGCTATTAAGACTCGACTGTACACTGTGTTCGTGTTTTCCTCCGAAAACAATAAGTTTCGTTGGAGCAGCCTTTCAACGCCTCTCTTTGTCTCTCGCAAGCAAAGTTGACCCAGACAACAAAGGAAAGCTATTTTTCGGCTATGAGCCCAACACGGAACCCGCCGTATTAGTCAGAGGTCCCTTTACTCCGGGTTCGGAGCCGCGGACCTTCAGTAACAGTAATAAATCACAGCAATAGTACATTCAGCATGATAATATATTAAGTAATCCAAAGTATTCAGAATACGTTACTCTCATTGAGTAACGTAACGGAATACGTTACAGAATACATTTTGGGGCATGTATTCTGTAATCTGTAGTGGAATACATTTTAAAAGTAACCTTCCCAACACTGAGTGGACCTGATGTTTAGTCTGATGGAGTTTACAACAGAGCTGTATATCAAGAATACATGCAGTATGAAGTGATCAGATTTGATTATTATTATTATTTATTTTCTAATCTTCTGCTTGTGAGAGATTTCTTGCTGGGATTCTGCTTTCACTGAACTTGGATATGTTTAGTGTGGGTATAGTGTGTTGTTTTTCTTTGCATTCTTTTTTCCTTTTTCTGTTCTGTTTTTTAGTCTTTGTGGAACAAACTCACATGAATGTCAGTGGCAATCTGCCCTAATGACTCTTTAGGGAAGAGCCACAGCTCGCAAGGATGTGCTAAGACCTATGAGAGACCCACAAAAATAAAAAGCTTTTTTCATTTGACCTTGAAGCCTGTTGTATTATATGAACTGTCATGTTAAAATGTATGTTCCCTTGCCCAAGACTATTTTAAAGGCTGTCAATAAAAACTAATTTCACAAGCACCAGTGCTCTCCTAGCACTAAATAAATCCATGAGCTCACCACCACCAACACCAGATGTGTTTTTTCTACTTGAACACTGATGTTTTTTGTTTTGTTTTGTTGGGATTGTTCATGGAAGAGGCAGAGTGGTTTGTTTTGGTTGTGGCTGGTTAAGGGAAATACAAGAAAAACAAAGTGGAGAATATCAGTAGCATTTATCTTCTGACAGTAATTTCCCAGCCTTGTCCTTGCATATACTCTCTCTCTCCCTCTCTCTCTCCCTCTTTGTGATTGGCTGAGGTGGCTGATGACACATCACAAGCAGGGGCGGTTGAACTATAAAGCCTCTGTACTCACTCTCTTCAGATACAGACAATCTCGCTCCATACTGAGCTTTACTGAACAGTAATTTGAGCACCACAAAACCGAAACACCACCCCTACCAGCTCCAACCTGCTGCTATGTGTAAAGGACTAGCATCACTGCCTACCTGCTGCTTGGAAAGGTATATTAAGCTTCTTGCAAACACTGATGTTTGGGGATTTGGATTAGATGATAGAGAACAGCTTTTTCTTTATCACTGTACATCTGCATGTGAGCATCTGAGAAGCTAAAATACAATGTAAGTTTTAGGTTGTGCAAATCTAGATGGCTTGTCAATGGGTATGCCATCAAGGTCTTGGTGAAAAATGTAAATAACCTGTTTTCTCTTTCTCTTAGGGCCAAGGAGCTGAAGGCAAGGCTGGGAAGTGTTTTGCAGATCCCCAACTGGAATCTATCCTGTTGCAAAATAGGGAAAAATAAGTAAGGCTCACATATACAATATAATACTGCAGGGTGCATTTATTGCCATTGTGTGTTTGGTCAAAATTCCAGTTTGAATCTAATTGAAACTAATGCTTCATTTGTTTTCAGGCCAACCCTGGAGGAATGCCTAAGGTGGAAAGAGTCCTTTGAAAAACTTCTTTCCAGCAAATGTAAGTAAAGTCTCAGTTTGTTTCTTTTATTGTTCTGTGCCATTTTCACAAAAAAAAAAAAAAGTGCATTCAAATGTGGGTAAATTATGTGGATGCACACACATACACATTCATCCACTCTGGGTCCATTATGTGCAATGAGTAATCACATTTCCTCTATTTCTGCAGATGGACTGTATGCTTTCACAGCCTTCCTTATGTCTGAGTTCAGCGAGGAGAACATTGCGTTCTACTTTGCCTGTGAGGAATACAAACATATCAAGTGTCCTGCCAAGCTAGCTACTAAGGCTAAGAAGATCTATGATGAATTTATCGGCAACGAAGCTCCCCGGGAGGTACGTAAATGCCAAATCTCAAAGAAGACGTAGCCATAAGTGGTCAAAAAAAGAGACTCAACCTAATATCTTGTGTCCTTTTTTTGTAGATTAATATTGACCACGAAACCCGTGACATCACCAAAGCCAATATGCTGGCCCCCACACATTCTTGTTTCGACATGGCCCAGCACAAGATCTACATGCTCATGGCCAAAGACTGCTATCCACGCTTTCTCCGCTCTCCAGCCTACAGAGATCTGGTGTGCCAAGCCAAGCCAAGCAACAAGGCCAGAAATCTGCCCCAACAGGAGAAGAAGGCTTGAAATCTGTCGATGAGCCTAAAAGGGATTTGTTAGCGATCGCCTTAAGATTTGAGAATGGAAGGGAAGTCTGGCACAAGGTGCTTCATCGTGAAGCATGTGCTAATAATGGTACAGATGCTGAGTGCTACATGAGAGCAGCTGTGGATGGGCCTATAGCGTAGTAGCCATCACTTTGAAGATGGCAACAGAATGGAAGAAAAAAAGGAAAATGGAGGAAAGCTGAAGGCTGATGCCTGAAAATGGACTGCTGTCGATACAGCTAGAGTTTGGAAAGCAAAGTAAAGAAAGAGTTCTACTAAACAGACTGAGTGACAATCAAGCAAGAGGCCAGCACATTTGGAAAATGCACTTTTCTTAGCCATTAGGCAAACTTTTGTAGTTGTGACGTGCAATGTCTGTCAAACTTGTTCACTGTATGTATTTGTATGGGCATGTGGGGTCCTTTATGATTTTTATGTATTTACCTGTATGTATATATTGCATTTTTAATCAAATATGGAAAATAATGTGCAGTTTAATTTATACTATAATATTTATATGACTGTTTTTTTCTACATACCAAATAAATTAAATTATTTGAAAAACTGTGACTATTTCCTAAATGTGTTTTTCTTACTGAACAAAATCATGGTTTAAAATTACTTCTATAAGATTATTTATATTCAAATTATATTTGCTAAGCAACAGCACGATGGGAAAAAAATCACCCATTGTAAAAGCTGATGGGTACTTTAAGTGTCTTATTTAGTCTAGTGACATAGACGAGTCATCAAATGTCAATATGTGGTCAGGCAGAGTTTGCTCATAGTTGTGCAAATACCCAGAGTATGGATGTTTAATCATTCATATTATCTGGTGTAGAGGTAACAATGATATATTTGCCCTCTGTCATGACGAACTCTGCAGCTAATGTTGTGCACAACTGTTATTCACCTAGGAAACTGCTCTGCTCTAAAATGTATCATAAAGAACTCAGACAATGACAGTACCCCCCTGCTTCTAGCTTTTGTCCCATAGTGTGTAAATGGGAAGGAGCTTTCTAGCAAATAGGAAGCTCAAGAGATGATGACAGCATTAACGCAACAGCAGGAGCTGTAAAAGTTTATTATTACCATAGACACTGTTTGCACCCAACATCAACATCAGGAAGTAAATGACAACGAAGCTGCTACCAGTTTAGAGCGCAACCACTGCTGCCTGTTAACCAAATAAACAGAAGCTGCAGGAAAAAGAGCTGCAATGCCATCCAGAGTCTGCAGTAGTTAGGTAATAATGACTCTGGTTATGATGGTGGTTATATAATTTGTTCTCATTAAAATGATAAATACTGTCGTTATGATTGCTTTGGTATGGTCCACTGTACAAAATGTGTCTGAATGTCTAGTTTGTGTATTCATATGTCATCAGTGCAGAGTGGAGCCATTATTAGGTGGACAACAGCTGGTCCACAGACCTGATCCATATGAATATAGCATAATGCCTCCCCCTTCTCCATAGTAATCCTTTGACATTTCTATCTAGCTCTAAGCATAGCAATGACCATCTGTAAAACTGGTTAGGGGGGTTTGTACGTTTTGGCATGTTGTGAACAGTGCAGTGGACATCCAGAAGTATATCTTCAGTTATCAAGGCAGAAATAAGCTTGAATTAATGGCCTTAGTTGAAAATACCCCAAAACAACATTTGTATGGATATAATATGTAAGGATATACATATTAGTAAGAAACTAAGTACATTTTATTTATATGGTGCACTTAAAGCCAAAGTGTTTTAGAAACCCATTTATTCCATTTAGTTTTATTAGAAAAGATTTGATGGACCTTCACTAGCAGGATTCAAAGTAATCGGTTTACCTCTGCATCATTAACAAGCTTATCTTTTTAGGCTACATATAGCTTTTATTGATATTATATAAAAAAAAATTGTCTGAAACAACAACTGGTTGATGTATAAGACTAATCAAATAAGCTTCTTTGAAAGCAAAGATGGATATTGGTTTTAATTTTTGGTTTGAAGTTACGGGAAATTATGCTAATATTATAGAGAAACCATTGTTGTTTCCTGATTTCTTAGTTTTATGCACATTTGTCACACATGTGTTTCAGATCATTCAATAATATTTTGTAAAAGATTAAGCAAGCAAGCAAGACAAATACAGTTTTAATATGCCGATCTTGTTTATTAAGGAAAAAGATATCTAAACTTATCTGGCCCTGTGTGAGAAAAGTAATGGCCTAATATGTTCAACTGCTCTTAAAATAATCGCTAACGCCTTGTTAAATTGTGAATGAAGATTTTTTGGCGAGTTTAGCTAAGTTCAGTTCACTAGCCTTAATCAGGCCTGATTACTGCCAGACCTGTTGAATCAAGAAATCAGTTGTGAAGTAGGCTAAAATATCTCAAAAAGCAACATAACATGCCATCATCTAAAGTGACAGATAGGAAACAAAATTTCTTTATCAGTCAAGAAAGTGTTGCAAAGCTATTTCCAAGGCTCTGAGATTCTAGTGAACAACAAGTCATTATCTACCAACGGGGGAAAGAGGAAAACCTTCCTATGAGTGGCAAGCCTACCAAAAGTTATTCCAAGACTGGATCATCTGGAGATCACAAAAAACTCAGAACAACTTCCAAAGAACCTCGGGCTTTACTTGCCTCAGTTAAGGCCAGTGTTCATGAATCCACCACAAGAAAGAGACTGGGCAAAAATGTTCCAAGTTCCAAGGTGAAAGCCACTGTTGACCAAAAAGAACACAGAGCCTCATCTCACAAGAACCTCTCAAGCCTCCGCCAAAAGAACATTCTGAGAAGACAAAAGCTGAACTTTTTTGGAAGTTTTGAGTCCCATTACGTCTATTGTAAAATAACACAACATTTCATAACAAGAATGCCACACCAACAGTCAAACATTGTGGTGGTAGTGTGACAGTCTGGGGCTGCTTTGCTGCTTCAGGACCTGGAGGACTTGCTATAATTGATGGAACTATGAATTCTGTTCCTAGCAGAAAATCCTGAAGGAGAATGTCCGGTCATCAGTTGGTAACCTGAAGCTCAAGCACACTTGGTTTATGTACAAAGACTGATGAATGATCAACACACACCAGCAAGACTGTCTCTGAATGGCTAAAAACACCCCAAAACAAATGTTTTTGAGAGACCTAGTCAAAGTCCTTCAATTAGATAAACCTTAAATCTGATTGAGATACTTTTGCAAGTTCTTAAGCAGGTCATTGATGTTCAAAAACTCTCCACTGTGGCTGAATAAAACCAATTATACAAAGTACAGTAAGGAAAGTAAGTAAAGAAAGGACTCATTGCTAGATAACGCAAACTCTTGCAGGATGGCAAAAGCAGTTATTAAGTTTAGGAAGCAATTACTTTTTCAGACTTCACACTGCTTTAAACACTCTGCTCTTAGACAAAAACCTCTACTTTAACATCGAACAGACCCAGGAACAAAAAAAGCTCCCAAAACAAAGTAACCTCATATTCAGATTAGTTAAGCTCTCTCGTTTGTGAGATTCAGCACATGGGCAACCTACAAAAATGAAAAAAGAAGCCAGTTTGAATGGAAAAAACTGCAGTTCCTTGAGGTACTGCACAAAACGCTATTTTGGACTACAGTCAAAATGTGGTTGATAAGTGTTCCCAGTATAGGCACTGGACCTTTCTGTCATGTTTGTGATCCGGTTTTGGTGAGTGACATTCTTGTGTTTCAGCTAGACATTCTTGTGTGTTTCAGCTGTTACATAGCAAAAATTTCTAGATATGTGTGTCTGTACACTGGACCTACATCTTAATGCTGTAGTTAAGTTATCAGCTAGCATTAGCTTACAATTTATCTCTCAAACGTCTTGTCCAAAAAGGTCACTTGCCAGCTCCTAAAAGGTGGGTATGGAGTGAAACTCAAGGGGGAACAGCTTTCAAATTGGACTGTTTTGTTATTGTTTTAGAGACTGTGGGGGCACCAGATGAACATTTTTAGCTTAGCCATCTTAGCCTCACAGCGCCACCTTTTCTTTTGTCCTTTCCTACTTCTTAAGTGCCCCTAGTTCAGGATGGATTTATAAGTTTTTGAGTTTTATTATGAGTAATAGGTCCTTCTATTTTATTATAACAAATTCAGCTGATTATCGTCCAAGAATATAAATAGATGCAGAAAGTATAATCATCGGTCCCCTTTTATTTACTGTATAGTAAAAGTTGGTCAACAATGGTTAATCTTAGTGAGAGCTGCCATGCAAACAACAGGAAATGTTGCCTGAATGTTCTCTGGAAACAGACAACATGATTCATCGTTGTCAGTGCCTCATTTTGAAAAAAAGTCAAAAACAGTAAATCACAGTAAGTAAATCACAATGAAATTGGTCATCATTTGCTAAACTAATTTTCACCCCACTCAGTTACAGTAATGGTTATTTAACTGCAGGTTGTGGGAAAGTGTTGGTGCTTTTCTAGCATAGATGGGTCACTACATTGCAGGACTTTTATCTACAAGATTTCCTTCTAATTTTTCTGCCACCACCCAGTTCATTGGAAATACATGATTTGGAATGTGGATGGCTTAAACCCCAAGCGCCCACAATCCTCGTGGGAGGAAATGTTTTTCTTGACAGGGAAACAGAGCGCTAGGCCTCTGCCAGTTTCAGCCAGTTTAGCTTAGTCTGATTAACTGCCTAATTAATATTGAAATGTAATTCAAGCACTTGCTGTAGAAGGTTAAAAAGTGTTCTCGGACAAAGCACTCACAGTATAAATAGCAAAAAGACTGCAAAGAAAAAGCACAAATGTAGATTGTTTAATTGTTCGTGTTCATAAAAAGCATTGATTGTGCACCAAAAGAAAAATGTTGACACAAAACTGATCTCCATGTAGTGATGACAACCGATTTCTTTTAAATTATTCAACTACTTTTTTATTGTGACAAAATCTGACTTTTTTCGTACAGCAGTAGCTTACTGTACGTTGCTTGTTATAATTTATACTTCTTTATGTAATAGAATTGTAAAAAAAAAAATCCGGTGGTGTAATTGTGAAACTACACTGCCATCTAGTGGTTTCATTTTGTAATTACATCATTTACTAGCTGCACTAAAAGGTTTAATTATGTACTATATTTGGAATTCTATTATGTCTACATTTCACTATAAAAATGCAAAAATTGTGGGTTGTAATTATCTGTTATTTGCATCCTGGAAATTTGTAGCAGGGAATTATTTAAATTTATATGCAATAAAAAATGTGAAATGGGCAAGTTTCTTGCCTGTGTAGGCTCTCAGTCACCCAGGTCATGGTAATCTTCAGCGCTTGAGGCAGGTAGACTTTTTTTTTGGTTCATAAAGATATCTGATCTCACATCTGGCAGGCTTCTTCAGATGTAGACTCTGATGGGGAGTCCAGGATATTTAACCTGAGTCACATGGGGAATAACAAAGCTGTTTTACCAGTCATGTCTGTGGTTATCTTTCATGCCCCTTTGCTCACCTAATTAAGGCTCAGTTTAGATAACTGGATGCTTTTAGTGTTCATTATGTTTGTTTTGGTCCATTTCTTCCATTTCTGCCTTAAGTGCGATGTTCTCTGCCCA